TTTTTTTTTTTAGAAATGACCGCTGTAAAACAGCACAAGAGCTGTGATTCCCAACGTGATTTATGACCCCAGTAAGCTTAAGAACTTCAAAATATTTCCATTTTTCTTTGAAAATATTAAGATTTATTTCGATTAGTTTAGATTTGTTTCTTTGAAACTTATGAAACAATAAAAGATAACATCAAGATGACAGTAAAGACAGTCAAAAATGACAGTAAAGACATTTATAATTTTACAAAAGATTTCTATTTCAAATAAATGCTGTTCTTTTGCACTTTGTATTTATTAAAGAATCCTAAAAAAATGTATGTCAAGGTTTCCTCAAAAATGTTAAATGTACTTTATAATGTTTTAGTATATTAGAACGTGTCCTGTTTAATTTTATTAGTTAGTTTTATTAGTTTGCATACCAAGAAATCTTGTCAGGCATATTTATAATATAATATAATAAATATAATATAATATAATATAATATAATATAATAAACTGTAATTTTAAATCTTTACCAGTCTTTGTCACTATCCTTTAAACCACTAGGTTTTACCCATTAGTATGATCATTTATTATTTTATATATTTTAATAAGTACAGAATGTTGTTTCATTTTAACATAAATATATCTGTTATGCTGAATGATGATGGAACATTATTTCACTCATACTTTGATGTTTTTCACAAAAGTTATTTGAAACATTATAGTAGACACTTGCATTTAATATGCTTTCTGTGCATATAAAATCACTTTTGTAAATTTAATTTTGTCTCATCTTGGACCCATATAGGCTACTGATTAGAGTATTAAACACAAGAACATATCCACAAGCTGTATTCCATGTCAGGCTGAAATGGTCACGAATGGCCTCCGTTAGACAAAAAACCTTCTGAAAAATGTAAATCAGAGAGGTCGTGACCTCAGCATGCTAAATGTAATGAGTGACGTCAGTCCGAGCCTTAGAGCCCTTAATACGCTCGCAAAGACGACAATCAGAGCCAACCAATCAAAAACACCACCAAGTGATTCTTTGATCTTCAAGAACACTACACAGAAAAGAAACGTTGCACCATACACCATGCATCTTCTTA